ATGTATACAAAATGGTGTCCTCTGCGTAGAGGTGGATCTGAGAGTCACCAGCAGCAAGAGCGACATCATTGATATACACAGAGAAAAGAGTCGGCCCAAGAATTGAACCCTGTGGCACCCCCATAGAGACTGCCATAGGTTCAGACAACAGGCCCTCCGATTTGACACATTGAACTCTATCTGAGAAGTAGTTGGTGAACCAGGCGAGGCAGTCATTTGAGAAACCAAGGCTATTTAGTCTGCCAATATTATGGCTAAATTTGTTTTCAGAATTGAACAAATAACACGTAGGCCTATGTCTATTATTTTAATATAATACCACCAGGATTTACAAAACCCAATTTTTATAGCATTTCCATAAATAATTAGTTGCACCTGAATTTGACCCTGAAAATATTACTATTATATTTTCCCATAAAGCTTTTAAGAAATTAACATAATGCGTGCAGTAATTTCATTTTAATTTTAGTAGCTAAATAAGGAGGTATATCAGTTCCGGCTTGGATTGGAATCTGTGCGTCGCAAGCAGTAAGAGATCTATGCAAGCAAGGCAGCCTGCTGAAGTGCATCGGTCAACATTCCATACAGCAGTTGGGACAGAGCGCAAGTAGTCTACACAACAAAAGAGCTGGAAAACAAAGACAGTTTCTCAAAATGTACACAAAAAACATCGAAAAGATTTGACTGCTGTGGTAGTCCCTGTTCTCTTGCAATCTTGTTTTACCTTTGTAAGTAAAGCAGCGGTTTGTTGGGGAGAAGTACATCAAGGAAAGATGTTCTAAACAGATATCAAAATGGATTGTGGTCATTGTAGTTAATTACCACGTTTCTGAGTTGAACTAGGTTGAATATTTGCTTAATAAAACCTACAACTCCCGTTAGCCCAACGTCCCACAGTTCTTGACTTGATTTCTGACTTGAATGATTTGATTTCTCTAGAGAAGCAGTGCGTTGGGCTCACACACACAAAAAAGCTAAATGCAATTCAAGTAATTGAAGCGACGTCCGTTAATTAGTTGTTTAATAACCCCCCCCCCCCCCCGAAATGCCGGTTAATCGCTCAGCACTAGTAGATTCTGACTTAAATATATTTTACTGTGAGTTACTGTTCTGTTGTGTCCTGCATGCCCACATATTGCCAATCGTTAATTTATTTTCTTATATTTTTATGCTTATAGTAAGTGTTATGAAAACTCAGGAGGTTGGTGTGTTGCGGGCCCTCTGGAATATCCTAAAATATGCCCCTACCTACAGTGGTGGAAAAGGACGCAAAGTATGAGCAAGTTGCTCTTTTTTGAAGACATCTCTAACGCTTCGAACACACCGACTGTGTTTTGCGTTTTGGTACAACAGAAGTACATTAATTTCCAATGGAACGCTGCGTTTTTTTTTTTACAGCATTGCGTTCCAGAGGCAGTTGTAGTACGTTCTGTGTGGTGCATACGTTGGATTTATCGAACTGGTAGCAGAAGGTGAATGTTGAACTTTTGTTGCACACATATCTAGATGATGCTGCATACTATTTTGCGCAAAACACAGTTGGTGTGTTCAAAGCATAAAGGTGGCTGCAGGGTTTACATGTATAGATCTACCCGCTTGCATGTTCGTGGGTGTAGTCGTTTGTGTAGTGTATATCCACTAGCGGGCTTGGGGAGCCAGAGTAGAGGGGCAGAAGCACTCTTTTTTTGCTTTAGCTAGCGACCATATTTGAACTTCCGGATCCGGTGTTATATGCCTGTTTTTAACAAACAGTTGGTTCTAATCCTGAATGCTGATTGGTTAAAATCGCATTCCAGCCAGTGTCTATTCCACAAAATGATTCTCTTCACTGCAGATCCTTGATGAGGATCTACAGTGGGGAAAAAAAGTATTTAGTCAGCCACCAATTGTGCAAGTTCTCCCACTTAAAAAGATGAGAGAGGCCTGTAATTTTCATCATAGGTACACGTCAACTATGACAGACAAATTGAGGAAAGAAAATCCAAAAAATCACATTGTAGGATTTTTAATGAATTTATTTGCAAATGATGGTGGAAAATAAGTATTTGGTCACCTACAAACAAGCAAGATTTCTGGCTCTCACAGACCTGTAACTTCTTCTTTAAGAGGCTCCTCTGTCCTCCACTCGTTACCTGTATTAATGGCACCTGTTTCAACTTGTTATCAGTATAAAAGACACCTGTCCACAACCTCAAACAGTCACACTCCAAACTCCACTATGGCCAAGACCAAAGAGCTGTCAAAGGACACCAGAAACAAAATTGTAGACCTGCACCAGGCTGGGAAGACTGAATCTGCAATAGGTAAGCAGCTTGGTTTGAAGAAATCAACTGTGGGAGCAATTATTAGGAAATGGAAGACATACAAGACCACTGATAATCTCCCTTGATCTGGGGCTCCACGCAAGATCTCACCCCGTGGGGTAAAAATGATCACAAGAACGGTGAGCAAAAATCCCAGAACCACACGGGGGGACCTAGTGAATGACCTGCAGAGAGCTGGGACCAAAGTAACAAAGCCTACCATCAGTAACACACTATGCCGCCAGGGACTCAAATCCTGCAGTGCCAGACGTGTCCCCCTGCTTAAGCCAGTACATGTCCAGGCCCGTCTGAAGTTTGCTAGAGTGCATTTGGATGATCCAGAAGAGGATTGGGAGAATGTCATATGGTCAGATGAAACCAAAATAGAACTTTTTGGTAAAAACTCAACTCGTCGTGTTTGGAGGACAAAGAATGCTGAGTTGCATCCAAAGAACACCATACCTACTGTGAAGCATGGGGGTGGAAACATCATGCTTTGGGGCTGTTTTTCTGCAAAGGGACCAGGACGACTGATCTGTGTAAAGGAAAGAATGAATGGGGCCATGTATCGTGAGATTTTGAGTGAAAACCTCCTTCCATCAGCAAGGGCATTGAAAATGAAACGTGGCTGGGTCTTTCAGCATGACAATGATCCCAAACACACCGCCCGGGCAACGAAGGAGTGGCTTCGTAGGAAGCATTTCAAGGTCCTGGAGTGGCCTAGCCAGTCTCCAGATCTCAACCCCATAGAACATCTTTGGAGGGAGTTGAAAGTCCGTGTTGCCCAGCGACAGCCCCAAAACATCACTGCTCTAGAGGAGATCTGCATGGAGGAATGGGCCAAAATACCAGCAACAGTGTGTGAAAACCTTGTGAAGACTTACAGAAAACGTTTGACCTGTGTCATTGCCAACAAAGGGTATATAACAAAGTATTGAGAAACTTTTGTTATTGACCAAATACTTATTTTCCACCATAATTTGCAAATAAATTCATTAAAAATCCTACAATGTGATTTTCTGGATATTTTTCCCTCATTTTGTCTGTCATAGTTGACGTGTACCTATGATGAAAATTACAGGCCTCTCTCATCTTTTTAAGTGGGAGAACGTGCACAATTGGTGGCTGACTAAATACTTTTTTTCCCCACTGTACCTCATCACACCACTCTTATTAATCATTAATCAAATAAAACATTGGGCATTTATATACTGTGTCCCAGTCTTTTCTATGCATGTAATGGCTGTGGGTGAATTATGAAACAATTACTGTATGCAGATGTGCAAAAAATGGTGGTGTAGATTTGTTTTTGCCATTGCTTGATCTATTTCAAATGTAAGAATATGTTGCAGATTATGGTGACAATGGAAACAAATAGAAATGTAATGAACAATGTTTTCAATATGCAACTATCATCTGCAATACTTTTTACAGTACACTCTTAGAAAAAAAGGTGTCATCTAGAACCTAAAGGGGTTATTCGGCTGTCCCCATAGGAGAACCCTTTGAAGAACCCTTTTTGGTTCCAGGTAGGACCCTTTCCACAGAGGGTTCTACATGGAACCCAAAAGAGTTGTACGTGGAACCAAAAAGGGTTCTCTTATGGGGACAGCCGAATAACCCTTTTGGAACCCTTTTTTCTAAGATTGTTGATAATAACCTGTAGGCATGTGGTCATTACTAGGTTATGATGGTCTTAACTATGACCAGTAGGCTACATAATATAGTGTTCAGAATTATGACCAACTGGTGTCAGAAAAAGACATAAAAAACGTCATTTTCATCCAGTTTGCAACCAGAATAAGACATATCAAAATATATCATACTGAGGTCTTTTCAACCAGGTTTTTGCCCACTGGGGTCGTTCTCTCCTGTTTTCTCTTATGCACACTTTTTGGTTTATCACTAGTTACCACAGCCACAAAGTCAATATTTACATTTTTACATTTTAGTCATTTAGCAGACGCTCTTATCCAGAGCGATTTACAGTTAGTGAGTGCATACATTTTTCATACTGGATTGTCCATTATAGTAAAAATTCATAAAAACAAAAATGTACTTTTTGGTCCTAATTCAAGATTAGCGTTAGGCATAAGGTTAGAAGTGTGGTTAAGGTTAGGTTTAAAATAAGATTTTAAGAAGATAAATGTTTTAAATAGGCGGGGTTTAGCCATAATTGTGACTTTGTGGATGTGGTAACTAGTGACGACCCACTTATTGGCCCTTTGGACTTTCCATACTCGGCATTGAGAAGTAAAGTGAAACGTCTGCATGCATTTTACGACATTTCGCAGTGCATGTGATTTGCATATCAGGTCATGTAAAATGCCAACTCTAAAGTGCCAATGACTGCAGAAAATAGTCAGCCAGAGTCGTTATCAATCGGTAGTTTAGGTTGCTGTGTTTTTCTTGTTCTTTCTAAACCTGATCACACTGCGTCTGGTGTGGAGAGAGGAATAGCTAAGCAGACAGTGGGATAGATATGCAGTAGCAACAACAAGCCTTGGATCGTGTGAGATGATGGGCTTTTTATTTTCTTTCACTTTGAATCAAATCTAACCAAAAGCTTCAATTGCTACCTGCAAAATCAGACAAAACTGTTGTGTGTATAGGATAGCACAGCAGACTTCGTTGGTTTGTAACCTCTGGTTTTAACCGCACCCTTTCTGTTGGGATACAAAACACACATCAGAGAAAATGGCGGAACTTGAGAAGGAAGGACTGCCCCAAACAATGCAGGAGAACCGAGATGAAGAGGAGCCCCAATATACTGATGACTCTAAGCCGAGCAAGATTCAAGACGACGCATGTTTCGAGGAAAAGCTAATTGAAGAGGTCAGAAGGTACACCAATTTGTACAACACCTCATTGAAAGACTATAAAGACTTCACCATGACCAACAACAGCTGGAAGGAGATAGCTCAAACTCTGAGAGTAGAAGAACAAATTTGCAGGACGAAATGGAAGAACTTGAGAGACAGATATGTCAGACTGAGGAGGAAAATTAAGGGGAAGAGTGGGGATGCAGCATCAGGAATACAACCACAAATACTCACCACACTGTCCTGGTTGTCTGGCTTCATAAAACACAAGGAGACAGAGTCAAACTATCCAAAGGTAAAAATACAATTTCTACTGTCAATTAACTTTCTCTAGCCTAGATCACTACCCAGTGGGCAAAACCTGGTTGAAAAGACGTCACTATGATGTCTTATTCTGGTCGCAAACTGGTTGAATGATTTTTTTTTTACTGATCAGAGTATGACATATTTTATTGACCACCATAGGACCAGTTGGTCATAATTGTGACCTCTATATTATGTGCTATATTATGTAGCCTACTGATCATAGTTAAGACATCATAACCTAGTAATGACCACCTGACTACAGCTTATTACCTACTGTAAAAAAGTATTTCAGAGGATAAAGTTGGATATTGAAAACATTGTTCATTACATTTATATTTGTTTCCATAGGCACCAATTAAAGTTTAATTCTGCAACATATTCTTACATTTTAAAATAGATCAAGAAATGGCAAACTAATCTATATTTTGTTGCATATCTGCAAACAGTAATTGTTTCATAATTCACCCACAGACATGCATAGAAAGACTGGGACACAGGGTATATAAAGGCCCATTGTTTTATTTTATTCATGAACAATAAGAGTGGTGTGATTTTTACATTTTAGTCATTTAGCAGACGCTCTTATCCAGAGTGACTTACAGTTAATGATGGGGTAGATCCTCATCAAGGACCTCTGAGCACAGAAGGTGATCTGAAGCGTAGTGGCCTTGAAGAGTGGTGTGATGGGTCAGATCTGCAGTGAAGAGAATCAGCGCGTTACAACTTTATCATTTTGAGATTTTAAAAGAACTAGAAAAGGACCTTCCTGAATAAACTTTGTGGACTCAGCTGGCTAAAAGTATTTCCATGGTACTAGTTAAAGAAGTTTGTGGCTGTTGTAGCTTAGTGAGGAAAAAAATAGCAACTTGCTCATATACATACTTTGCGTCCTACTCCACCACGGAGGTCAGGGGCATATTTTAGGACTTTCCAGAGGGCCTGCAACACATCAACCTCCTGAGTTTTCTGGCTTTTCATGACACCATAGTGCCCACAAAGCTCATCACCCTGGGACTAAACACCTCCCTTTGCAATTGGATCCTGGACTTCCTAACGGGCAGCCCCCAGGTGGTAAGGGTAGGCAACAACACATCTGCCACGCTGATCCTCAACACTGGGGCCCCTCAGGGGTGCGTGCTTAGTTCCCTCCTGTACTCCCTGTTCACCCACGACTGCGTGGCCAAGCACGACTCCAACACCATCTTTAAGTTTACTGACGAGTCAACAATGGTAGGCCTGATCACCGACAACGATGAGACAGCCTATAGGGAGGAGGTCAGAGACCTGGCAGTGTGGTGCAAGGACAACAACCTCTCCCTCAATGTGAGCAAGACAAAGGAGCTGATCGTGGACTACAGGAAAAGGAGGCCCGAACAGGCCCCCATTAACATTGACAGGGCTGTAGTGGTGCGGGTCGAGAGTTAAGTTCCTTGATGTCCACATCACCAACAAACTATCATGGTCCAAACACACCAAGACCATCGAAGAGGGCACGACAACACCTTTTCCCCCTCAGGAGACTGAAAAGATTTGGCATGGGTCCCAAGATCCTCAATAGGTTCTACAGTTGCACCATCGAGAGCATCCTGACCGGTTGCATCACCGCCTGGTATGGCAACTGCTTGGCATCCGACCGTAAGGCGCTACAGAGTGTAGTGTGTAGTGCGCAGTACGTCACTGGGGCCAAGCTTCCTGTCATCCAGGACCTATATACTAGGCGGTGTCAGAGGAAGGCCCAAAAAATTGTAAAAGACTCCAGTCACCCAAGTCATAGACTGTTCTCTCTGCTATCGCACGGCAAGCGGTACCGGAGCGCCAAGTCTAAGTCCAAAAGGCTCCTTAATAGCTTCTACCCCCAAGCCATAAGACTGCTGAACAATGAATCAAATGGCGACCCAGACTATTTACGTTGTTTTTACACTGCTGCTACTCACTGTTTATTATCTATGCATAGTCACTTTATCCCTACCTACTTCTTGTACAAATTACCTCGACTAACCTGTACCCCCGCACATTGACTCTGTACCGGTACCCCCTGTATATAGCCTCGTTATTATTTTATTGTTACTTTTTATTTTTTACTTTATTTTATTTAGTAAATATTTTCTTAACTCTATTTCTTGAGCTGCATTGTTGGATAAGGGCTTGTAAGTAAGCATTTTCACAGTAAGGTCTACACATTTACATTTACATTTTAGTCATTTAGCAGACGCTCTTATCCAGAGCGACTTACAGTTAGTGAGTGCATACTTTATTTTATTTTTCATACTGGCCCCCCATGGGAGTCGAACCCACAACCCTGGCGTTGCAAACTTCATGCTCTACCAACTGAGCTACATCCCTGCCGGCCATTCCCTCCCCTACCCTGGACGACGCTGAGACAATTGTGCATGGGTCTCCCGGTCGCGGCCGGCTACGACAGAGCCTGGATTCGAACCAGGATCTCTAGTGGCAAAGCTAGCACTGCGATGCAGTGCCTTAGACCACTGCGCCACTCGGAAGTACAAGATCGTACACCTGTTGTATTCGACGCATGTGACAAATAACATTTGATTTGATTTGACTTACTGTAAGCATGAACTCACTGAAGTCTGAGATTTCCCAGTTCCGAGTTTCCAGTTGTTTTGAACGCAGCAGAAGTCAATCTGGATTGACAGCATGGCCAATGTATTTAAACTTTTCTTAACTATGGTGTTACCGCCCTTTTTCGTGATATCCAATTGGTAGTTACGATCTTGTCACATAGCTGCAACTCCCCTACGGACAAGGCGAAGGTCGAGAGCCAAGCCGTAATGCTTCTTGACACACTGCTCGCTTAACCCGGAAGCCAGCCGCACCAATGTGTCGGAGGAAACACGGTCAAACTGACGACCGAAGTCAACTTGCATTTGCCCGGCCCGCCAGAAGGAGTCGCTAGAGCACGATGAGACAAGGACATCCCCTAACCCGGACAACGCTGAGGCCAATTGTGTGCCGCCTCATGGATCTCCCGGTCACGGCCGGCTGTGATACAGCCTGGGATCGAACCTGGGGCTGCAGTGGCGCCTTAGCAGTCATTGTTGAATTTGCGATTTCCAACTTGCAATGTTTGTCCAATGGCCGATGAGCACCGATACGTTTAATCTATTTGCCAGTAGATTGCCGACTTGATGCATGATGATGACTCCTTGTCTAGCTTGCTAGCTAAGATTTTGAAAGTTTGATGTTGACATGATCAGTCCAATCAAAGCTACGGTAGATATAACGTGATTTGACATCATTTTATCTGTGGCCAATGGCCTTGAGCCTTTTGGATGGGCACTTCTAATGTAAGTCTATGGCAGCACCCAAGGGGCTAGAATTGTCGAGCTCTACCCGTAGATTTTGCGGTGATGTAGTGTCCCCATGAGTGACAGAACACTGAGCTAATCACGGCACAACTAGAGAATATCACCAACCCCTACGCTCCGTATTTTCTGCTGGCTGCCCCACCTCCTCAGAAAGCACTGAGCTAGGCTGAAACACCTGCATTTTGGAGCTGCCTTACTCAAGAAAGCAAAAAAGAGACCATGTTTGTATGCGGCTTTATTAGGGCAATGATTTATTATTTTTACATTTTTTGCAAACTGATATGACACATTAATGCCAAAATAACATGCAGAACAGGCTCTGCCCCACCAGCCCTGAATGACGCTTCGCCACTGGTCATGTTTAAAAAAGATCTGAGCGGTCGATCTCGGCTTGTATTTTGACTGAGAAAAGGTTGGTGACCACTGGGGTAGAGAATCATTCTACCATCTAAACCACTGTGAAATATATTTTCCGTAACCAAAAATATTGTATTTTCAGCTGTTTGAAACTGTTATACAAAACTGAAAGTAAAAGACGCCAAAATGAAACTTAAGAACGGGAGCATGGAAATGGCGCACATAGAACAGATCTACCTCTTCTTAGACTTGCTTTCAATGAGAGTGACAGATCTATAACTCACATTTCTATGTGAATTTGATTGGGTCGACCAAAAAGTGACATATTGCAGCGTTAACAAAAAAATTCCAAATGCAAGCTTCATGAGTAAATGATAAATTTCAAGCAATTTTGGCCTAACTGTTGCTTGATGCCTCATTGCTGGTGAGCTTGAAAAGTAAACGTTTAATATTTTTGATCACCAAACCATTTTTGGAGCTGCATATTTATTTGTTATGGCAATCCTTTTCCCCTACAAATTGACATTTGCGCTGCACCCGATCCAATAGATGTACAGCAAATCCGCAATCTGTTTGCTAGTTCACCGGACCTGTGCTGATTGAAAGTTTGCTGGTCCAATCAGAGGGCCGAGTGTGCATTTCAATAGCCAATCTGTTGCACGTTTTGTTGCTAGGGTAATCCACAGAGACTGTGCCACAAAATTAGTGAAAAAACATTACAAAACCTGGCCAGATAATTTCAAGTCCCAGGTCTTGAGGCTCCAAGTCAAGTCTAGAGTTACAGTGAGTGAAAAAAGTATTTGATCCCCTGCTGATTTTGTACGTTTGCCCACTGACAAAGACATGATCAGTCTATCATTTTAATGGTAGGTTTTTTTTAACAGTGAGAGACAGAATAACAACAACAAATCCAGAAAAACGCATGTCAAAAATGTTATAAATTTATTTGCATTTTAATGAGGGAAATAAGTATTTGACCCCCTCTCAATCAGAAAGATTTCTGGCTCCCAGGTGTCTTTTATACAGGTAACAAGCTGAGATTAGGAGCACACTCTTAAAGGGAGTGCTCCTAATCTCAACTTGTTACCTGTATAAAAGACACCTGTCCACAGAAGCAATCAATCAATCAGATTCCAAACTCTCCACCATGGCCAAGACCAAAGAGCTCTCCAAGGATGTCAGGGACAAGATTGTAGACCTACACAAGGCTGGAATGGGCTACAAGACCATCGCCAAGCAGCTTGGTGAGAAGGTGACAATAGTTGGTGCGATTATTCGCAAATGGAAGAAACACAAAATAACTATCAATCTCCCTCGGCCTGGGGCTCAATGCAAGATCTCACCTCGTGGAGTTGCAATGATCATGAGAACGGTGCGGAATCAGCCCAGAACTACACATGAGGATCTTGTCAATGATCTCAAGGCAGCAGGGACCATAGTCACCAAGAAAACAATTGGTAACACACTACGCCGTGAAGGACTGAAATCCTGCAGCGCCCGCAAGGTCCCCCTGCTCAAGAAAGCACATATACATGCCCGTCTGAAGTTTGCCAATGAACATCTGAATGATTCAGAGGAGAACTGGGTGAAAGTGTTGTGGTCAGATGAGACCAAAATCGAGCTCTTTGGCATCAACTCAACTCGCCGTGTTTGGAGGAGGAGGAATGCTGCCTATGACCCCCAAGAACACCATCCCCACCGTCAAACATGGAGGTGGAAACATTATGCTTTGGGGGTGTTTTTCTGCTAAGGGGACAGGACAACTTCACTGCATCAAAGGGACGATGGACGGGGCCATGTACCGTCAAATCTTGGGTGAGAACCTCCTTCCCTCAGCCAGGGCATTGAAAATGGGTCGTGAATGGGTATTCCAGCATGACAATGACCCAAAACACACGGCAAAGGCAACAAAGGAGTGGCTCAAGAAGAAGCACATTAAGGTCCTGGAGTGGCCTAGCCAGTCTCCAGACCTTCACCTAAATATGTAGAGACCCTTTATGATCACCTCCTCAATATATAGAGCTATATGATCACATTTCATGAAATACAGGTCCTGTTGAGGAACAAAACACCAATGAGGATGAAGCTCGGAAGTCGGGGAAAGAATCAGTCAAAAGAAGAAAAGAAAAAAAAGGAGGGACCACACAGTCACAGTAATTATATTTGCTTCACCCAGGGTTTTTGTTTCCTGGGGATGGGTTTAGCTGAGCACCACATGGCGGTCAAACACAGACTTCCTCTGTTCCTGGACCTGCCTCCTCCAGCGCTGCTGAGCGTGCTCCACTTTGTTCAGCATGTTGGGACGAGAGGCCGAACGAGACAATACGTTGTGGGCGTTGGCGAAAGGCTGCTGGTCCCCGACATCATCATCATTCTGGAGCTGTGAGTGTCCAAAGAGCCTCCTCTTCAGCATGGGCTCCAGCAGGGTCAGGTACACCATATAGAGGAACAGCAGGCCCAGGATGGACAGGTAGATTATGATAGTTACCTTGATGGTTCCAGAACTCCTCTCCTCATATTTGCATTCACAACGCAGACAGTACGCCTCCACATCCTTTCCGTCAACTGGCATTGGCTCCACAACATGGAGGCAGTTACAATCCTTTAGAGATACATTTTGTTTGTAGATCTGTCCATCGACGTCTCTGTACGGTGGGCAGGTACATTTACACCGAATATCCTCTGAATTCTTAGCATCCGTCGTCTGTGTTGATATAAATAACAAACCAACAAGAAGAGAGAGCAGTTTGAAGGCGACGCCCGACATAATTTTTCTATGTTGAAGTCCCAGAATACAGCCTACTAAGAAAAAGGAGAAACGAGATCCTGAAATCAAATAAAAGGTTTTTTTTTTTCAACTGACAACAATCCTTCTGCTAGCACCTGCTAGCATCAAACATTTCCTCCCACCGATCAGCTGACAACTGCATGACATCACTTCCTGTGCGTGTAAATAGTATTCCCCGGGTAAACCCCATAGAAAATCTGTGGAGGGAGCTGAAGGTTCGAGTTGCCAAACGTCAGGCTCGAAACCTTAATGACTTGGAGAAGATCTGCAAAGAGGAGTGGGACAAAATCCCTCCTGAGATGTGTGCAAACCTGGTGGCCAACTACAAGAAACGTCTGACCTCTGTGATTGCCAACAACGGTTTTGCCACCAAGTACCAAGTCATGTTTTGCAGAGGGGTCAAATACTTATTTCCCTCATTAAAATGCAAATCAATTTATAACATTTTTGACATGTGTTTTTCTGGATTTTTTTGTTGTTATTATGTCTCTCACTGTTCAAATAAACCTACCATTAAAATTATAGACTGATCATGTCTGTCAGTGGGCAAACGTACAAAATCAGCAGGGGATCAAATACTTTTTTCCCTCACTGTGTTTTATATCAAGTCAAGTCACAAGTCATCAAATTTGTGACTCAAGTCAGACTCGAGTCCAAGTCATGTCACTAGAGTCCACAACTCTGGCTAGTACAAACCTAGCTCTTACCAAGCTTAGTAGGAATCAATACACATTGAAGATCAGAGTATCAAAGAGGAAAAAAACATTTGACACATCTTACTGTAAATGACTATGGATTTAAGGAGGGATGGTTCAGCTCTCTCCTTTCACTGGGATGTGGCTGAATGGTCACTGGTAACTGAGTGGGTGGCCAAGCACTGCTGTAGAGGCCATGCATCAGGTCATTGACATGTTTCAGGAATTGTAAAGACGAATCATGATTAACCATTACCTAAGGTCTTCACTAGGTTAGTCAATGTACAGTTGAAGTCAGAAGTTTACATACACCTAGGTTGGAGTCATTAAAACTAGTTTTTCAACCACTCCACAAGTTTCTTGTTAACAAACTATATCTACTTTGTGCATGACACAAGTAATTTTCCAACAATTGTTTACAGACAGATTATTTCACTTATAATTCACTGTATCACAATTCCAGTGGGTCAGAAGTTTACATACACTACGTTGACTGTGCCCTTAAACAGCTTGGAAAATTCCAGAAAAAAATGTCATGGCTTTAGAAGCTTCTGATAGGCTAATTTACATCATTTGAGTCAATTGGGCGGCAGGTAGCTTAGTGGGTAAGAGCGTTGTGCCAGTAACTGAAAGGTCACTGGTTCTAATCCCTGAGCCGACTAGGTGAAAAATCTGTCGATGTGCCCTTAAGCAAGGCACTTAACCCTAATTGCTCATGTAAGTCGCTCTGGATAAGAGCGTCTGCTAAATGACTAAAATGTAAATGTAATTGTAATTGGAGGTGTACCTGTGGATGTATTTCAAGGCCTACCTTCAAACTCGGTGCCTCTTTGCTTGACATCATGGGACAATTAAAAAAATCAGCCAAGACCTCCACAAGTCTGGTTCATCCTTGGGAGCAATTTCCAAATGCCTGAAGGTACCACATTCATCTGTACAAACAATAGTACACAAGTATAAACATCATGGGACCACGCAGCCGTCATACCGCTCAGGAAGGATACGCGTTCTGTCTCCTAGAGATGAACGTACTTTGGTGCGAAAAGTGCAAATCAATCCCAGAACAACAGCAAAGGACCTTGTGAATATGCTGGAGGAAACAGGTACAAAAGTATCTATATCCACAGTAAAACAAGTCCTATATCGACATAACCTGAAAGGCCGTGTAGTGTCTAAAAGACACACCTTTGCTGGTCCATGCTGTGATGATAAGGAATCCGCCGACACTGTACTCTGTTTATAAAGGTTTATTATAACAAAGGATACTCAGCATCGGAATTTGACAGACACCTGCAGATATCTGGGGACAGCAAGAGCCAAATTCTGTAATTCGCTATCCCAACTCCTATTGTTCAAGACATGGTTTTATATAATTTATGACGTAATATGGTGTGATTCTAAAAACCAATCCCTAGTCTTTTTCACATCTCTCCCCATATCATCTTTCCATGAACATTAGTAATGCTTTCCAGATGTTTTCAGCAGAGTAGAATACAGTTCATCTGTTGCACCATTTTGCCACATCAGCAAAATCTTAGAGCCAAGTTTCCTCTAACACACTTTCTGCAACGGTCAGCATATCCTAGACTCTAAGACACTACATATTTCCCCCCTTCGAGACTAATTAAGTCTCGAAAACAAAAAGAATAGGATTATGACAAATAACAATTCTTGTTCTTGAGTAACTTTAACAATAAACCAACATTTATGGAAAGTAAACACATGTTTATATAGACACATTTTTGTATGTAGTGTAAATACATTATTATGGAGTGTAAATAAATTGTTATGGAGTGTAAATAAATTGTTATGGAGTGTAAATAAATTGTTATGGAGTGTAAGAGCGAAAAACCTGTCTGGCAGCTTTCATTCCAAATATCCATCAGTCAGTCAAGACAGGAAAATTCTCTCACGGCCCCTCTGCCCTAGGCGACCACCTAAGTACTCCAGATCAATTTATACATCTTTATGAATACATTTTAAGCTATGATGCAATTGAATACATATGAAAACCCCAGCAAACAAAATACAATCAAAATGTCCACATTCAGGCTGGTCGACCCATCGGACCCTCCTGTGGATTCTCTCTTTCCTTGCCTAGACCCCATATCCCTAAACTTCAACGAAATAAACAAAAACATCTGAGGTCCCCACATGTACCCAACAACAGAAAACATAATTCTTCAAAAATTTATACAGAAAAAATATAACACTGGAATGTAGTCCACTACACTTCATCTCCTCCACAGTGTCGACTTTCAATGCGACGTCGATGATGGAATCGGAACATTTCCACTCCTTCCTTGTTCCACTTCCTCCAGTCCATTCATATTGTCCATGTTTGAGTATTTGAGTCCCTCTACATATTCCCCCATATGCTTCTGGAAGAAAAGAAAATACCAAACAGTATCTTTTGCAAAACAACACATGCAAATTAAAACATCAATATCAGTAATAATATAAGAATGTATATATAAGATTATATCTAAAATGAATCACATTCTATTTCCCCCCTTTGATTCATAACAAAACACTAAATATCACAATAATATGTAAAGACGTGAAAAATGATCGGATAATTAAAATGGATATCTATCCATCAATACTCCATCTAGCCCTACTTGTTTATCTCCATCCAGTTCAGTAACAGCTAACAACGGCATCTGAGTGTTGTCCCCAGGCATCACAACTCCAACCCATCTCAATATCATAGCCTTCGCAAAAGTCAACAACAGAGTACAAAAACAAAACATTACACACAGCGCTATAAGAGCTGCTACTAAAATCTGAACTATCACTGCTCCCACTGGGCCCAACTGATCTTGCAACCAAGCCTTCGCTGACCATCCAGCTCCTTCGGATTGACCAAACGCATCCCTTATACTCTTCAATGCATCTATAACACTAGTGATATTATCGGATTTCCATCTATCACCACTAGTGTCACTACATTAACTCTCAGTCCCGACTCTAATCCCTCACTTTCAAACTGTGGATTATAAAAAATACATTTATAATCACCTTGATCCTCCTGCTGGGAATTGTACACATAGAGAGTACAATCACCCTCAATCTTCATTCTTCTCTTATCATTCAGCAACGCATACTTTCTCAATGCAACTGCTCCTAACAGATCTAAACTCCTGCCATGGTTGTCTTCCCACTGAACTCTAAATTTCCCTTCACCACTGTTCTCTCTCGTGCACTGGCATGGAAGCTGAGCTGACTTTCCTAGGGTTACTTCTACCCTAGTTTTCGTGACGTTTTGGTCTGACTTTTCTCCTAGCTGGTCTGGGCCTACTTTGTCTAACTGAATCATCAGCTTCTCCTGTAACAGAGTTGCCCTTGGTGATCTCCGTGGTTTCACATTCCACTGAAATATTCCCTGTTGTGTCTGGGACGTATTGAAAATCAATGTCCCCAAATCTCTTTTCCTTCCCATCCATTGCAGAGTCATGTCTGGCATCATCAGAAGTGTACACATTATCATCAATGTTGTCCACAACATGAACAATCTCTCCTTCTGGGTGTTGACTCTGGATATTGTCAGGCATCTCTCCTTCCACCTGTTCTTCCCTATCGTCATCCTGCTCTCTTGAGCCTTCAACATCCTGTCTCTCTGTGCGTGGCACCACTTCTTCAGGCGCTTTAACGCAATGTGACAAATGATACCACGTTGGAGATCCTTTAACCTGGACAGCTGTTCCAGTACTACGAACAACTTCAAATGGTCCCTCACGACGTTCGTTATACCACTTCCTTCTAAATACCTTCACGAACACCTTGTCCCCCGGTTGCACTGTACTCCTTTTTTGCTCATCAAGCTTCTCCTGCACCTCTTCTTTTCTTTGCCTGTCAGAAACATACGTGGACAGCTTTTTATGAAAATTGGCCATATATGTAACGTATGCTCTCATTTCATCTTCCAAGAGAGCCAAGCTTGGACCCTTTCCGCTTGTTCGCAAACAAGGCGTAGGCATCCTTCTTCCTGTGACCAGTTCATGGGGTGTCATACGTAGATCACGCAACTCACTTGAGCGACACACCATTAATGCTAAAGGAAGCGCCGCTATCCAGTTTAGACCCGTA